AGAGAGAGAAAGAGAGAGAAAGAGAGAGAGAGAGAGAGAGAGGGAGAATTCATTAAAAGAGTATGAAGAAGTAATTTTCATTTTCTTTTTGTATCAATTCATAAAATCCTTATTTGAATTAAATTTACTATCCAGAAATCTTAATAATTACTACAAAATTTCTTTACAATTTCTATGAAATTTCCTTTTATAAATGTTTTCCCTTAAATTTTGATAATTTATTAAATATCCTGATAAGTTAGCATTATCATTAAAGTAAATGAAATTTCCTTTCTTTTTTTTTTGCATGTTCAAAATCAACAGATTGAGCATTCATAATGGAAAAAATGAACTACTTTAAAATGAATAAACTGGTTATTGATTGACAGTTACATTTACAAAGACAATTGCCTTTGTTGATCAGTTTGATGGTTGATTTATTTGAAGCTTCAATTTTGTTAGTTTGTTTGTTGACAGAGAAGTGTATTTTATATCAATTCAACAATGACAACGTAAAAGATAGAGAAAGAGAGAGAGAGAGAGAGAGAGAGAAAATAGATAGATTTGTTTAATGAAATAATTTACCTGTTTGTTTAAATGAATTATTCTTATCAATTCTCTTTTCATTTACTACTATTTTATGATTATTTACTTTTTTTCCCTCTCTAATTATTGCTTGTGGCTAAATTAATGATTTTCTTCCAGATTACTTAGTAGTAACACTTAAAGTAAAAGTAAATAATGTACAAGGAAATAAGTGAAATAAAATAAAATTATAATATGCTATAAAAGAGGTACTACAGGAAAAAATTTTTTTTCAATTATATCTATATTTTTATATATACATTGATTGAGTTAAATTATATAACTTTCCTTGAATATTTTAAAATAGCAAAATGCTATATTTGAATATTTATCTTTCTTCATAATTTTGTCAAATTTTGCGTAACTTAGATTACTTTAAAATTTTGTGTAAAGTTTTATTAATTAAAATGAAAGAGGAGGACAAGTTTTTCGTTTCTGCGTTAGTTAACTGATGATTACTCATTGTGATGAACTGATAATAAATACCTCAGAATAAATTTTTAATACAATTGGCTTTTCAAATCACTAATGTTAGGGGGTTTTTAAAAATTTATTAGTTCGAAATTCCTCTTTATAAGTTTTGCATGTTCATTCTTCCATCATTGACCATTACAAAGCAATCAGATCTATGTTGATTGCAAACATTTCCAGTTGTTCAGTGCAGGTTATAAAATTGCAGAATGTAAATATGCTAAAACTGGAAGTGCTAAGAAGAAATTACACCTAAGCACTTTTGAATATTTCATATTGGATGAGGGATATTATCATCAATAATAGCTAAAAATTTGATAAGATAAAAATCATTTGCATTATCAACTTCATCATAAATTTTATCTGTGATGATGGAATTTTAGAAAATACAATTTTCTCGCTAATTTTTTTGAAATTTATTTGATTAGCAAATTTTATTCCTCCATGATAAGTTCATTTTGATAGTGCACGTTGAACAATTTTTACAAGGAAGCTATAATTTTGAAAAAAAAAAACTATGTAAAATGAAGAAAAAAATAATGCAATTAATCTTTGTTTAAAAATGTGGAAAAATTGTGATAACTTTGTTTTTTTTTTTTTTGAAATAAACTACTTGCTACAAAATTTGGAAGAATTTATTTCAAGATAAACCACAATGTATAAAGAATAGAAATAGATGGAATAATTTGACAGGTGTACATAATGAGCAGGTATTGTTGATAAAGGGAGCTATCTGTGTGAGAGAATGAATTTTAGAGAAATTTAATATTGAATGAATATATTGAATTAATTTAAAGAGTGTTTTAAATAGCGTATGGGGAGCACATGGCATACAACATCATTATCAATTAATTGTTATCAATTAATATTTCATGAAATTTTGTTCGTTCCGTTTAAATGAATTGAATTGATATTTTGCCATCTTATTTGTATAATTTTATTTAAGAGAATGAAATTAAAAACAAAAAAAAAAACGATTGATAGTTTTTTAACTCATAAATTTTTAGCGTAATAATTTAAATTGTAATTGTTAAATAGCTGAATGGAAATAACTGGATTGTTTAAGCGAATTACACTGAAACAATTTCACTATCTTTCCGTTTAGCAAATACATTATACAATTTTACTTTCGCTCATTTTCGATATTCGATTATATTTTGCTAAGTGAAATAACACATATCGAAAAAAAGCTCGAAAATGGGGGCTATCAGTTTTGTTTTTTTTTTTTTTTGATGGCTAATTTAAAATGACATTATTTGATGTTATTCATTTCATTAAACATATTGCTAATTTTCGTTTAATCACAGCTTTTCAAGGTGCAAAATGGATATTTCCGAGATCTTTGATGATGTGATACTTCTCGAAGAATTTAGCTAATAAAAGATATTGTTTGTATATATAGATAATATGTTTGTAATAATCTGTCTAATAAATTTTATAACTTTAAAATTTACTCTCTATTAAGTAAATAAGAGAGGAGGTGATTGGATTAATGCAAGAGATGATTGGATCGTAGTCCGACAAATCTTTTCCAATTTTAAAATATTCATTTTTGTTAGTTGTAATAGTTGTGTGAGATAGTAAGCAGATAGGATTGCGCGGATAGCAAAAAGAAAGATTGCTGGTAATTATGCATCATTTTCGGGCAATAAGATGAATTAATTGGCTATCCGTTTCCCACCAATTGATGTGTTCAGGCGTGGGAAGAACGGAGGAACATTTCCGGAAATGAATGCTATAATAGAACGGAGGAGGAGGAGGCGGTGAAATTGAATTAAAATTGTTTCAACAGTTCTTTAATTTTAATTTTCCATAACATAACAATTTTATTGTTTTATATGGAAATATTTATCATTGTACAGCTCAATGTTTTTATATCTATTCTACTTTTCGGTTTTTTTTTTCTACAGAATAAAAAATAACTCTAATTTAATCTAATTTGAATTTCATTTACTATCTTTTTTTTTTTTCTTTAAACGATTTATTTTAATCATTCATACATCCTTCCACTATGATATATGTAAGCATGCAAGCAAACAAAAAAAAAAAAAACAAGAAAAAAAAAAGAAGAATGAATAATTGCTTACGTACATTGTATTGATATTTAATATGTTTAAATTTGAAAACAAAAAAAAAAAAAAGAAATATTTTTGTCTTTTAAATTATTACAGTGTTTTTTTTTTGCATTCAAGAAATTAATCAATGAATGAATAATTTTTATGATAATTTTATCATTGTTGTAGTGGATTAGAATTGGAAGTGATGGTTGCTACAAGGATGCATTCGAAATCATCAGGAATAATTAAATCTTTCTCAGAGGATCAATTATCGTCTTCAGCTGTTGCTAATATTATCCATCGTACAATAAGGGATACGGATACGGACAATCTTCAAGGTTCTTCAACATCATCAATTATTAGGGAAGGTCATTCGATGGTAACTCTCAAAAATCGTCATCATTCAACGGCAACATCAACAATGTCCCATTGTTCGGTAAGTGAATTACTACTACTACTACTACTACTGATTTTTGAAAAATAGTGTCAATTGATGGAATGATAGTATTTGCTCTGTGGTATAATCGATCTAATTGACCTATTTTTCATCCCAGCTGGAAATTTCTCTTTAGCTATTCGAATTCTGAAAATTATTTCAAGTTAAATTTTATAATCGCAATTTATCCTTTTCCATTTTGATAATAGATGATAACAAGTTTTGGGAGAAATTTTTGCAACATTTTTATAGCTAAATTAATTAATTAACTAATTAATTTATCTTTGCTTCGAATTTTCCTCATTATCTGTTAAAATATTCACGTGATACGGTTTGTTTTTTTTTTTGTTTTTTGGAATTTTATAATCTCATCCGTTTTCATAGCTTTTCACTATGCAATTTTTTAATTGCTTATCTTTAAATTGAATCTTTCCATTTTATAGCATCGCATTGCATATAATGATGAAATAAAATATTGGGATTTTTTTGTACGTGAAATTGATTGATTTAAATTCGAAAACATAAATTAAATATCACTAAAGAATAATAGTTTCTTTTTGTTCTCTAACAAGAAGTACAGGAAATTGAATAACAACAATGATAATAATAATAAATTGATAATAAAACAAGTTGCTTAAAAAGCATCTATTATCTATTTTTATTTAATTCTAACATCAGGATTTTAATTAATTCTCATATCCATAATATCAAAACAAGTTAATTATGAATGGTACGTTAGAATTCAATCAATTTAACAAAGAGACAATTACTGTAGGCAAAGAGTAACTTAGCAGTTTTTTTTTTATTGCAATAGTTTGAAGACTTAAGCTAGAAATGTCTTTTAAGTATTGGAATGCTAAATTTAACCTTGTATTTGATTTGACAATACTTATATTTGATCTGCATACTTGATCTGATAGTGCTTCATTTGATCGTTGATCGAATATTTTTTTATTGCTGAGCAAAACATTGTTTCCTTTCATCTTTACAAAACACTCATTTTGTGTCCGAAAAAAAAAATTGATATGAAAAAAAAAATATGATCCAAATGAAAATCACTGTTTGTTTTTACTTTTCCTCACTAACTCTCGAATTTCTATGTAAAATATATTTATCAAATTTCTAATGCCATAGAAGGAAACCAGTTTTATGCTCTGTCATCCGAATTCATCTACCAACTAGAGAATTCAGTTATCGAACGTAGGGCGTTCATTTGAAAATTCAATAATACCACATTGGAAATGAATCATTTTTTTTTTATTCTATGACGATTTTTAAAGTGCTATTTTTTACCCATTGAAATTTTAAACTTTCATACTTTTTAGCATCATAGATTGGAATGATACTCAATGGAATGATGAAAAAGATAAGATTGAGAAGGTGAGAAATGATTTAGTGATGATAATTTGATTGATTGAAACTTTGCATAAAATTTCTTGTATTTTAATTTATCATAATTTATTAGCCAACAGCATTCATTCTGTTCTATCATTTGAAAATCTTGAACTATTAATAATTACCATTATTATCATAGAAAGATTTATATTGGATCGGTATCACAATGAAATTGAAAAACCGGATTTGCTATTTTTATTTGATCATAAAAATTTTCATCAAGTTGAGAATTCCAGATTGAACATCAATAATTCCTCCAAATTTACATAAAATTAACAATGTTTGTGCATTGATGCATTGAACAATCCTTAAATTTGACAATCTTTTGTTGAATGTTTCCTTATCCATTTGTAATTGATTTTTTATTATCGTCAGTGATAATATATTTTACAATTTCTATTTTCCGCATTTTATTTTTCACGTGTTTTATGATTTTACATCGATATCATTTATTCTTTGATTCTTTTACCCAATCATTTCATTCTTTCATCCTTCATTTCTTTTCATTCAATACACATTTTAGTTGTTTTTTTTTTTGAAATTATCTTATCAGATAGTTTCACTCAACTGTTAATTTTAACTATAAAATATGATGCCTGATAATGTTGATAAATCTTTATTGTAGTGTAGTGGTTCAACGATGAATCATACATATAACATATGGCTATAAATTTGAATTTTGAGCATCGGGAAAATTTTTTTGAACCTTTTATCCATTATAATTTCAATAAAATTTTAACTTCAATTATAGAAATATTAGGGAATTAGATTTAATATAAAAATTTATCACTTTATTCTTATTGTTTTCTTGTTTGCTTAATTTCTCTAAGGCAAATTTCGATAATTTTAAATGAAACATCATTATGGGATACAATAAAATTGTATATGGAAAGTTGATGATGCGTTTTTTTTTTCTTTTACTCGAAATTATCAATTTTTAATTCGTTTTTTTATAATTTGGCAATGAAGAAGAAATTTTTAGTGGTTGAAACGAAATGATTACAATTGTGGAGATGATTTTTCTAAAAGTAAATTGTACCATGAAAATATTCCAACATACAGATA